AAAACCAGACACAACCATATACCTAGAGTGTAGTTTAGACATGGAAAAATAAAAAGGGCTGGAGTCTCAATGCAGCTCCCAAGCCAAAGGACAGAGGTCCCAGACAAGTTGTCCCATCAGCTGTTTGTCTCACACCTTAGCCATTTTCTCTTCAGTCCAAATTCAGGTTACACAGTAGAGCTGTATCAAGGTTGGCCTTGAGCACCAGTAGTTGAAATCCTGGAAGGGAAGGAAGAGGCTGCAGAGCCTATTGGGTTACTCGAGACCCTGATAGTAGTACCACAGTACAAGAGGTGATTTAGAGATTGAAAGAGTGCTAAATGGCAGAATATGAACAGAAACACTAAGTTTTCTGTAAGATGACAAAGAATGACAGAGCAAAGTAAACCCTTCTCCCCCTGGAAATCATTCCCCTGGAAGTCAGTAAATTTCAGTTATTCTTTGAGTGGGATCCTGCTGCTAAATCAAAGCAACTGAAGTCTGTGCAATGAACAAAGGAACTCATTGTGCATAGAAGGAATAAATCTTAAGTGTAAATAATATCTGGCATGTAAAACTTTTATATGAACAGTCTATGCTTTGCTTGCTTGCAAAACCACTAATAATCTACCTTGGAAAGCATAGTTCACCCTAGTCATTAGCCTCTTAAAAAAAATTCCTGAGTTGGGAAACTACAATTCCTTAACATTTTATCAGAAGGCAAGTGTTTCCTTTCATTGCTTGAAGTGGTTGCTGAATGGAAATAAAATGTTTATGTTACGTGGGTGAGCACGGTTATAAATGCTGAGTATATTACATTCGAAAGTTMAAAAGTAGCTTTTTACCTAAACTCAGTCAGCATAGTTGCATTATGTTTCCCTACAGCAATTTTTGGTGTGTCATATCAGCTTTCGAATCCCCCGAATCAAATCCCCCTGCCTTGTAGGATCTAAGCAAATTGTAAAACATAAGTAAAAGTGACTGGATATTAGGCTTATTACACTTCGTTTTTTCTCTTCGGTGCCTCTACTGGGTGCCAAAAGTTAACTTCATAGCTTTGTTCTCATGTATCAAAGAGATAAAAGTAGAGATGTGACTGACAATAGTGTCATAGGCAAGATTACACTGAAAATTGCTTTGAAAAAAACCATGACATTTTGGATGTCATTTTCCAAATATGTACAAACATCCTAAAATCATGTTTTGTTTTGTTTTGTTTTGTTTTGTTTTGTTTTGTTTTGTTTTGTTTTATCAGCCTCTTCAGTGTTATAAATCCTTTAGAAAGACCATGTCAGGAATGTGGAATGAAGAAGCAAAACTACAGCCAGTAAGGTTACTTGGCCCTCTCCTCCTCAAGCCATCAGGTAGTTGTGGGAACACCACACAAGATGTTGCAAAATGTTAGCTTTTTCACTATCAGCTTCTATTTTGTTGTGCCTCTGAAGAACATCTGCACTTGGCAGACCACATTTTGAACAGAAAATTTTCACCTGATACACATTTCAGTGAGAATTATTCCCACGGCAAATGCCAGCCATCAGCTGGCTGCAAGCAGAGAAAAGTCTGAACTGTTAATAAATGCTGCAGTAGGAAAATGGTTTATGATTTTACCCCCTTTTTTTTCCTGTTGCCTTGTCTCTCAAAAATAACATGAGTATTTTTAATGAACACCACAAGAAATAAAATTTACATTTAATTAAAGCTCAGAAGAATTCCAAAAGATGAATTTTCCAAGAAGCTGTAAAAGATTAAAGACTTGACTGTGTCATAAACCCTGACTAGATTAAATAAAGGGCAAGGTAGCACATATGCTCTCTGTTGACAATGTATTACTATTACTACAGCTCTGCTGCTTTCTATTGATTTTATTTGTTTATTTACTTATTTATTTTAAATTTGCTCTGATCAAATAATCCATTATTGAGCTTAATGCATACTAACTTATTAAATATATATTTAAACTTCTGGATTCTGTTCAATCTTACGAGAGATGAAAATATGAATAAAGAAATATCATGAAAGAAAAAACAACCAGGAATGAAAACCAAAAAATAAGGAGTTCCTTTCTTTAGATCAACCTGTTTATGAGATTAAATTATATCTTGCCTGATAGAAACAGACATATATGCATTGATTCAAAAGGAAAAGTCTTGTGTCCAGTACTTGATGTCAAATGAATTTTAATATATATAGTTTTTCTAGTTATAGAGATCAAGAATTCAATTGTGGTTGTGAACAAGCATAGATGTCGGTGTGCTGACAGTAATGTGAAGATCTTTGCCAAAAAGTAACTGAAATATGAAAGTCTAAGAAAATATTCTGGGTTCTTCCTTATCAAGAAATAAATTATTTTGAGAGTTAAGATCCCACAAACTTCAAGGGCCATATATTTTACCAAGGATATCATAGCTTGTTAATGCCTTAAAAGTTCTATATAAGAACATTACACAACAAAAAGGCTTCAGTCTATTCTCCTAAGTTCTTTAACTTGGCTACTTTGACTTCCCTTCTCCACCATGCAAGTATCATCCCCCCATGAAGCTGACAACAGGAACTAGGGAGCTACTGAGTCATGCTTCAGTCTCAGCCAAGTTTATTTATCAATACTGAATCAGCGTTGAATAATACCTAATTGCAGTACACATCATGACTGCAAAAAGCCTCAGACACTGAGGGCAAAAAAATCCCTCTTGGAAATCAAAAAGCTTTATGTTAAGAGAGTTGTGGTTTTCACAGTGTTCTTAGTTTGGGTCTGGGGCACAGATTCTTTCGGCCCCTGACTTTTAGTTCAGGCTCTGTAATAACCATCCTTCAGCTAGTTACATTCACTTTTAAATAGTCCTGAATTTTAATAAACCTGTAGGTGTGATGGGTCATAAAGCTCTTGTCCTGTGTTAACCTCTTAATTTTGTGTTTGAGATTTCAGCTAGGGTAAGGTAGTATTTGCCAGCAGTGATCCCTCTCTTTCAGTCATGCACCAAATCCTGGCAGAAAAGCTTCTATGTTTTGCTGGCACTAAACTAATGGTGCTTACAACCTCATACACCAGACAGGGGCACATGCAACGTAAAAGAATTATGTAATAGTGTAAGATAACATTTTCAAATGCATCTATCGAGAAACTTTACAGTTGTTTCCTGTGGGCTGCAGATGTTAGATCCCTGAGGTCTGAACTGTACTAAAGTCACTTTTAAAAGTGTAAACTTAGGCACCTATTTCAATAGAAAGCACTGATCCTTAATATTTATTTTAGGTTACTGAGTACACCTGACTTGTAAGGAATTTAGGCAGCCAAACATCTTGTATCTCAGTGCTTCAGACCTAGAAGCAAGAGTCTTGCTGTCCCTACAAAACCTTTTCAAATCCAGTATAAACTGTCTCGCTCTTTAACATTGGTTTTATGTCAAAATAGACACCTTTTTTTTTCCCACTAAATTCAAAGACAGACACTTTTCATGATGTTTTGAAGAGAGCCTGAAAATTATGCATTTATGGGGAGAAGAAGGTAAGGTGTGGTGTTGAAGAGGAAGTTACTCTTCAATGCCCATATTCTCTGGAATCTTTGGAGACTGAAGAAGCAACTAAAGGCAAATCCACTCAGTTATGGTGTTCCTGGCATAACCTGAAAATAATGAGTATGAGGCATTAAATTTACCCACAGTCACATTGAATCAGTATCTAAAATGTCTTTTCATATTTTATAATGCAGAGCCAATTGTGGCATCCCACTACTAAAATGAGAGAAGTAATTCTTCTAGTTATATTAACTCTATTTACCCATTTTAATTATGTATATCTTTAATTTATTTTAAAACAAAGATGCATATTTTTCAAATACAATACTATTTGACAGTTCATTTTTTTCCTTCTAAATCATTTCAGATTATATTTATATCATTTGTTTACTGACCTCTCAAAGTCAGTTTTTATAGCAGCTTTCAAGAAGGCAAATAATCTCATGGTACAAAGCAATGATGAACCTTCAGAACAAAGGTTTAAAGCTAAAGATAGCTGAAAAAATGCAGATAGCATAAAAATAACTATATATCCGTCTAGCAAAAATACCGTTTATTTTGGTTAGAATAGAACATTCATTCTTTAACACTTTGTATAGAAAGCATCTCTGAACCTATCTGCTTTTCTGAGTTCAGGCCCACCCCATGCCCTGCAGTCTGATTTCACACTGTCATGACTGTGTGTGATTGTGTCCTGAGTGAAATGATTTGTTTCCTTCCAGTTTGCGTAATGTGTCTACTGTTTGCTAGTTTCTTTTTCAGCTGCTGTTGTCAAATCCATGACTGGAAGCCTTCCTTGCCCAGATTGCTCTGCTAGTATTTTCTTTTTTTTATATATGTAAGCATATACATATATACACATACATGTGTACACGTACATATAGACATGTACATCAATGTATGTGTGTGTATTTATATACAGACATATATAAGCATATACAGATATATACATAATATGAAACTGTTATGCTAACATCCCATGTATGTTGATTTGTCACCAACCATGAGAGGGTGAAATAGCAAGGCATAGAAAATCCACTATACATTCTAACATTTAGGCTTTATCCTTTATTAGGTAGTGAGTAAGAGACATAAAAAGAATTGAGTTTTGTTGTTTACAGCTGAAAGTTAAAAGAGACTTGTGTGAACAAAAACTTGTTCCATAGAGCACTGTGACAAAAGAGGTCCAAGACAACTGAAAGTGTCAGTGCAAATTAGCAGATGTAAATAGTTGGAAGGACTCTCTTGTTTCTAGAAACATTTGTGTTAACTCTGCCCTTAGTACTGTGCCTCCATACATGCCACAATGTTCTGGCAAGGATCAGCTTGTTGCTTTTAATGGCGCCACGACAGCACAGCAGGACGTACAGCAGGTATCCATGTACCGAATGCTGTGCTTGGGAGCCTACGATCTCTTCTTTTCCATTCTGTGCATCTTCTCATGGGAGGAAGTTTCTTCCCAGCCCATCTCCCTTCCCAGAACATCAGTCCTCCTTGGCTCATTCAACAAAACACTAATTCCATGGACTATTACAAAAGGCTCTGGAGACAAGTTCACCGAGCACAGCTAGAAACCACTTTCATTCCCCTGTTCAAGGAGGAATTTGCACACAGCTGGCAATGGCATTACAGCTTCTGCAAAAAGAAGGAAGGTTGAAAATACACTTAAAAACACCCAAGGCCAAGATTTTGCAAAGAGGAGTTTAATGTTACTAGGATATATACCCAAATAAGTGGAAACATTTTTCCAAATAAATGGTAGGCCCAGACTTTCAAGGCTGCCCTTTTTTACTGCCTCTTTACTGGGAGCTGTAGAGTATGGAGCCCTTTTAAACGTCAGCACCTAGTTATTTAGGTGCTTAAACTTGGCTTCAGGAACTTACCCATACTCTTCTCTTTTGGGAATTGGGCCAAAGCAATCCAGCTTGTAACCAGCCCTGAAATCATCATCACAGAGTGAACTAAATACAACCAAAAGCCTGTTTGATTTCAAGGCACAAACATTGCAAATAAACTGGATGGCATACATATACATAATATAGAACTTATTTTAATACTTGTAGATAAATAAATGTATCTCTTTGGAATTCTTTGGACACAGATATCCATGGAACCTCTTTCTTTTTATATATATTTTTTTATAAAATCTATATGCAGAGAGGTTTAAAAAATGGCAAATACCAATGTATATGGAAGGCTCACTGAAGAACTGCCAGTCAAAGTGTTGTATATTCCCATTCTCTAGATCTCACAACAGTTCGTATTAACCACAGGCAGTATTAGATAGCAACCACGTGGTCAATGTTTTGCATTACTACATTTTAATAAAATCTTTTAAATTATCTTCCCATCTAAACTTAACTTATGTTTTTAATTTTTATTCCTCCTAAATGTATGGTAGGCATTTCACTTAGCTACACATCAGAGTGGTTGCATGTGACTCAGCAGCACACCCCAAAATATTTATAGATACTTTTCAGCTCCCTATGGGAAAAAGCAGGCAGCAAGAATCAGATTCAAGACATGTCTATTTTTTTCTCTGTTGTTTGTTACTTACCACATAGTGACCCACATGTGAAAGTCAATGGTTATATAATTATTTTATATAGTAGATCTTCTGTTTATAAGTTATTTTTCTTACTCTAACATATATACAATATATCTATATATACCCCTGATAAATCTTACTTTAAAGGGACACGGTCAACCCCTTTAAGCCTCATAGTAAATGCATAAGGCTTTAAGCTGTCTATACATAAAGGTCAGCTACAGAATTCAAGGGTCCCTTCAGATCCTAAAGATTTTATTTACTCCAAACCCACAATGTGCAGTTATCTCTTAATATGTATCTCATGTGTTGCTGTTTAGATTTTATATGTATATTAAAACATTTTATATCACATCAGCAGGAAATAAAACAAGAGAATAGATCTTTTTCTAAGACTAAGCCTATAGCAAAAATATGTTACCTGTATCTACAGACACTCCCACTGGTATGATATAAAAAGAATATGTGCCATTCTTGGGATAAAATTCTGGCTACATTGCAGTCAGGGGGAACCTTATATTGACTTAAATGAGGCCAGGATTTCTCTCTTGTTTTTCATTTGCTAGTTATGTAATCCATTTGTGCCTTCTCTCTGCTCAACACTGAAGTGTCATGCCTGTTTTATTAAAAGTGKTTTTTTTTTTTTTTTTTTTCTGTCAACTGGCATGCCTTAAACAGTAGCCAATCCTGTATGCATTACTTTTGGATATACACACACTGTACACATACGTTCTCAGTTAAATAAAAGTTTGCCCTACTCTGTGTACAGCATATGGATTTACTTTTTTTTTCACTAAATCTTCTTTATCATTTACTTTGTCCTGACCATAGATTATCTTCATGCTCATTTTTCTGCAGGTGAGGAAATTCATTTTGCTCACCAGGAATAGCTCAATGATTATTGTCATCATTTTTGACTACTTACCAAAGTGACATAATTTGTTCATTTTATCTTTTGCAACTCAGTTAGAAACCTAGTGGCATAGATAGAGACACAATACTACTGTTTTACAAGACATCTATTGTAACTACTTTTGTTCAGATAAATACCCAGTAACTGCTGATTTGGCAGGAGGATTGGGAAGGGTACTACTATTCACAGTGTTTCTTTTTTCCTTCTTCTTTAATCTACAGAATAAAGTATTTTATGTACATTGGAACCAGTTAATGCCCTTTAGACAAATTTGTAAGTTGTTTCATAAAGCAGGAAAGACATTGCAGGGAAATATGTGCCAAAAAGCACAGTCAAAAGGCTTTTTTTTATATGACACTACAAGTCAATGCTGGAGATCAGTTCTAAAATGATCAATACTCAAGAGGAATGCTCTCATCTGGAGAAAATACCACCCATTCCCCCTTCTAGAATTTGTTCAGTTCTCTATCAAAAGTCCTGGCTCTTCATATATACTTTAAACTATAAATAAACACTGCATAGTTCAATGTTCTTCTTTTTTTTTCTTTTTTTTTTTTTTTTTTTTTTTTTTTTTTTTTTTTTGTATGATTTGATTTGAAAAATTATTGCAGTACAATTAATTCCTGTTTGGAGTTCAATAAGGAGCAAACAGCACAGGAGTATGGGTGGTCCGTATAGGCCCTGGAGCTGGTCGTAGGAGTGCTGGAGGAAGTGCTGAAGTCTGGAAAAGGGTAGCTGCTGGGGCTGTTCGAAGACTGAAGGGGGAATTCACAGCCACAGCAGCAGCTGCTGCTGCAGCTGCTAGCGGATTTGGTAAGATTCGCGGAGCCATCGGCTTTGAAGGTTCCTTTGAAAATACTAATTTTACCTGTGGGGAAGAGAGAAAACAAACAAACAGAGAGAGATAATTTGTTCATATTAGCTACATGACAGAAAGCTTAACTTAGATTGTAAGTGGAAAATCAAGAAAGAAGGGCATTGCTCTGGTTAGTGACACTACGAGCTGCAGGGTTGTGACAGGAGATATGATCTCCTGCACATTGAACAACAGTGAGCAGGATTTTGTGTAGGACAAAGTGTTTCAATATTTGTTTGGCTGTGGGCTCACATCTGATCACTGAGACTTATAACTTAATATGATAGGAGAAATCAAAGCAAATGTAAAGAGGAGCTGGCAATCAGCATCAAAGTAAAGCTACACGTACCCTACAAGAATTAAATAAGAAAGAATTAGCCATCAATTAGACACTTTTATCTGGACAGCTTCATGATAACAAATGAAAACATATCCTATTCTCTGGTATGACTAAGAAGATACTTCTATTTTTATTACTGGCAGGATGTAAGTTCTGATTAAAATCTCCAGTTAACTGCTCTTTATTATCTTGTGCCTGTAACAAGTAACTCAAAAACGCTTAAATTGCACAAGTTATGAAAATCTCTTAACTTCTCATGTATTCATATTGGTGGTAAAATCTATGGGCACTGCCCTACATTGTCTTGCTCTGTCTTCAGAAGCTCTTCTTTACACAGATACTATTAAGTCATACAAAGACCGTGGAAAAGTGTCAGATATTCAAAAAATATAATCATGAAAAGCTTTTGTCTATATCACTTAAAAAGGGGTGAAACTATGACATTGTAACTAATCACTGGAGCTTTTATTTTAAAAAACTTGTATAACATGGGCCTGTGCAATACCAAATACAATTCAGAAAATCCTTCATTTATGGTTTCCAGGAAGAAAAAAAAAATCTCAGTCATAATCTCAAGCATCATGGTTTATTATATCAAAGACTAATTCAAAATGCTCAGAGAGTTCCATTATTATTTGTGTCTAGAGTGTTTACATTTAGTATGTGCACAAATGAACACCAGAATAGTCTACCCAAATTTCTGTAGACTACAACAAGTTTTAATTTTCTAATGAAAAGCCAGAAGCCTGAATAACTTTGTTGTTCTGGTTTTATAATTCTGAGATAAACATATAGACTTCACCCAATGACAAGGTAAAGTTCCCACTGGCTCTGTTAGACTCTAGGTGGGCTTAATGAACTGGGATGAGCTGCTGTCCCTTCTTCAGAACATGTAAGTGATGCGGTTCACCTCAGTCCAAGTATGGACACTTTTCACCCACAGGAAAAGACCAGTTGCTCATCCTTCAAATTGAAAAGTATTTCGAATAGTTGTCTTGCACTATATCAGTTTGATATTTTCCACTCAACAGTACTTTGTTGAGTGAATAGTTAGAAAGGAAGGACAGGAATTGCCTGGCAAGACTCAGCATTACATTATCACTGTATTCCAAAAGGTTCCTTTGCCAGCCAGCTGGATACTGGCAACTCTGTTGGCCTCATGGTCTTTTAAAGCTCTGGAAGAGATATTCAAAGGGGGCCAAATTCCATGCTTTTCTTAACCGAGGACATATGGTTGTTAGATAGAAGTGTCCTCATTGCACATATCTTAATCAAAGATCTTATCTTCTTCTTGATCAGTGCAAGATCCACCGATCCAAGTTGTCTTCATCTCTTTCTGAATATTTTATTTGTTTCTCTCTCCCTAATATTTATTTAGTTTTTAGCCTTATTTAGAGTAGGCAGTAAAGAAAAAAAAAAAAAAAAAAACAAAAAACCCGCACACAACACAAAAGTACCAAAAAACATCCAAATGAGTTCCTGGGATGTGTTTCATCAGAGCCATTCACTACAGAGAAGTCAAATAAATCCCAAATAAGTCCCAGCATTACAATATTTCTTAAACTGTGAAATTGTAGCATGGGAATTCATAAAGCATTTTTCTCTGAAACACGCATAACTAGGCTGGACAAAACATTATAAATGTCATACTGAAAATGGCATTGGAAAGATGCTGTTCTAGAAAAACTATATTATATTTTATTTATTAAAAATATTAAAAACTATGTTATTTTTAATTTACTAAAATGTTTTCTCCTTTCACAACACTATCAAACCAAAAATATTTAGCATATACAGTACAAGGTGTATTCATTTCAAATCACTCTGTAAGTACTATATAACAGGTCAAAATGATGACAGAAGAGGTAAGATTCATTTGAATTACAGTGAAGTGAATAAAGGGACAATAAGCGACTTGAAAAAATAGTGAGGAGTTAAGAAAGCTAATAAAGTCTAGAGCTTATCAAAACATTTATAATCAAAGTAAAATTAGTACATCTTTGGCTTGTTGATAGGTCATATGCATTTGAAGTGACAGAATTTTTTTTTTCTGTTCAAAAGCAAAAAATGAAATAGAGAAATGTTCCTATCCTTTTTCAGTGTAGCTTCTATTCAGCTATATATATCTGTTGGTTTATTGCTAAAGCATTCTATCCTCTTTAAATACCCTTTGCCTCTTTGCTCACTTAAAGTTTGAACTGCGGAGTGTGATGGTGTGGACTGTGGGAGTGAAAGGAATGACTAGCTGGATAGATGAGGGGAGAGTGGTGGATATAATCTATCTGGATTTTAGCAAGGCTTTTGATACTGTCCCTCACAACATCCTCCTGGGCAAGCTCCAAGGATTTGGGATAGATGAGTGGATGGTGAGGTGGATTGCAAACTGGCTGGATGGCAGAGCCCAGAGGGTGGTGATCAGTGGTGCTGAGTCCTCAGTCCAGTCCTGTTCAACTTATTCGTCAACGATCTGGATGAAAGGACTGAGTACCCCCTCAAAACTGGGAGGAGTAGCTGATAGCCCTGAGGGCTGCGCCATCATCCAGAGGGACCTGGACAGACTAGAGAACTGGGCAATGAGAAACCTCATGAAGTTCAACAAGGGCAAGTGCAAGGTCCTGAACTTGGGGAGGAATAACCCCGGACACCAGTACAGATTAGGGGTTGACCTGCTCGAGAACAGCTCCGCAGAGAGGGCCCTGGGAGTCATGGTGGATGACAAGATGACCATGAGGCAGCAGTGTGCCCTGGTGGCTAAGAAGGCCAATGGGGTCCTGGGGTGCATTAAGAAGAGCTTCTCCAGTAGGTCGAGAGAGGTGATTGTCCCCCTATACACAGCCCTGGTGAGGCCACATCTGGAGTACTGTGTCCAGTTCTGGGCTCCCACTAGCTGGGCCTGTTCAGCCTGAAGTAGAGACGGCTGATGGGGGATCTGAGGCCAACCACTTTTCACTGGTGGCCACAGATAGAACTAGAGGAAACAGCAACAAACTGAAGCACTGAAAGTTCTGCAGGAACTTAAGGAAAAAGTTCTTGGCAGTGATGGTGACAGAACCTTCAGGGAGCAGGTTGCCAAGAGAGGTTGTGGAGTCTCCTTCTCTGGAGAGCTTCAAAATCCTCTTGGATGCAATCCTGTGTAATATGCTCTAGGTGACCCTGCGTGTGCAGAGTGGTTGGACTAGATGATGTCTAAAGGTCCCTTCCAACCTCAAATATTCTATGATTCTATGAGACAGCAGGAGAAACAAACTGGCGGTGCTATTTGTCTGTGCAACTGAATAGCTTTGCGTGGAGTTCTCAGAAATCATCATTACAAAAATAAATGGATTACTATGTGCACAGTAATAGCAACAGTCATTTAATAGATATTTCCATCCTTTGGGAAGCAATGAATTTCCTAAAGGAATAATAATCCTGTCAGTAAGGCTATAACTATTCCATATCCTACTTTCCTAATTATATATTTTCTATTCCTTCCAGTATGTTTTATATCTGTTGGAGACCTTAGTCCCCTTGAAGCGGGGAGACTGATTACTGAGAAAAAAACATGGGGTCATTTCCTTACTCGCAAGTGTGCCAGAACAATGCACTACAGTGTGTTATGATATCTGGGAAAGTGCCTACCCAACTGAACAATGGTAAATACACCACCCATTAGGGCTGTCCCAAAAAGAACAAATTATCTGTTGCCATGAAAAATAAGGGCTAGTTCAACCAGAGGAGAATGGCTTTCAGAGAAAAGAGCTCTGCCTCTCTTAAGGAGGATGGACAATGAGTGAGTGGAAGATTTGCATGAGGCCAATGAGTCAACACCCTCCCCCTTGCCAAAACCCTCTGTAAATCCTTACGAAACCATGTCACACACACACAAAAATCACACAGTTTATCTGATGGAGATAAATGATACATGCTTCACTCTCCAACCCACAATATAAGCTATTTCTTGATTAATGGCAGAATCCTAACAGGGTTGTTATTAAAAAGTAAACTTTTTTTTTTTTTTTTATTTTTGTCCTTTGAAGCTAACAAGAACTGTGCTTCAGAAAGCTTATACTGGCAGTTGGGAATGTGACAAGGACTATGATGAAGCCAAGTGGAATGAACTGCAAGATGGATTTCTTTTTAATTGTTTCAATTGTTATTTGAGTAGCTTTCTAAATTAGGATAGAATTAAAGTTTTTTATGTCTGTAGAGTTTTATTTAGTCATTTCACTACTATTGTGGTTGGTGAAAACTGGAATGATCCTGTTTGGTATCTGGATATTTCTTTCTGCTCTTGCTGTTTAATGACCTTTAAAACAAGGCTTTTTTTCTGAGGTCGTTCAGGGCAGTTACAAAACAAGCATGCACGGATTGTAGTCCAGAGCCCATCAAAATAAATGAAAAGTCTCGTATAGGTTCTATGGGCTCATTCAGACATTTCCACYACCTAAATTACCCCTCTCCACGTACATTTTCTAAAAGGGTTTTGTGAATAAGAAGGAGATTGGCTTACCCCTAAAGGATGTGTTCCCTTTTGGAGTTTGTTGTAAGGGCTGTATTTAGGTTTAGGTGGTTTTCCAGCAGCTCTGTCTTTGTGCCTTCTACTGCTTATGTGCTGTTAAAAAGAATATATTGGAGAAAAAAATAATGAGCATTATTTCCTTAACAGACTTCAGCTTCTGCTTTAAGCTGCTTTAGTATTGAAAGCTACTGCCTCCACACTAGCATCACTTTAACTAGTTTGGTAATTAATGGGAACTTAAGTTTGCTCTGATTTGTATTACACCTCTGTGAACCTAAGACACTGATTTTCAGAAGTGCTTAGTTCAACCCTGCTTCCACTGTGGTCAATGTATTTCCTACCCTAGCTGACTTCAAAAGGACCTGACCCTATAGTAAAGCACCTATAAAACTCAAGCTACCATTTTGGACAAACTTTAGAAGTGCAGTGTCCTCTATCCAAAAAAATAAAAGGATGAAATTTTTAAATCCCTAAGGAGCTCAGAGATACTTTAAAGATTTCAGCTGAAAGATGATTAAATATCAAACTAAGTGACAGTGAAATAAAATCACAAAGTCCATTATCTTCTTCATAAAATCTATTAGATTTTACAAGAATCCTTCTATAAGGACTTTATTGCGTAGTAGATGTAAGGGATTTTTTCAGAACTATGTTTTTTTCAACTTTGATTTTCATTCTCAAAAGAGTTCTCACAAAAAGAACAAAGGCAGAAGAAAGAATTGGGCATTTCTTTTTTCTGAAAACATAAGACAAACATAGCTATTGTCCATTACAGAATTTATCTTCATTCTTGTGAAGTTCCTTAACAAGTATTTAATTCCAAAAGGCACACAGAATTAAAAAATTCTGTTTTACAGAACAAAGGCTTTGTTCATCTGAAGAATGACTGAATATAACTTAGTGTAATTGCTCCTTGGAGGTCATGCTTCTCAGTTACAGAGTAACACTGATGAAAGACAAAAAAAAAAGAAATCTTATCTATCCCACATTTCTAAGCAGGTTATTCAGTCAGTGTTCTGTGAAAATACTCATTGCACCCACCTCCACATTTTTGTCAAGGCAGATATCATGCAGGACACTAAATGGCACGGTTTATCAGCTCACAACAATAAGAGTAGTCTAAAGACAGTTGTAACATTTCAGCTCTGAGATTCCATAACTCTTTTTTAAAAAGATATATAATCACACACTTTTTCAGTGCAAGGAAAAGTCATACSAAAACCAAAACACACAGCACAAAGGTCAAGTGCAAAGGGCAAAATCTGCAAGCTTCATTTAGATGTGAACTGTCACATTGCCATATGTTGATTGTGTTGGTACTTTACCACCATGAAAACATGAAAACAAAGAATATGCCAAGGATTCACACTCTGCAAACTAGCTGAGTACCTGTTTCAGTTGTGTCTCAGAGTTTACGTGCACATCACATATTTCACAGTGAAATGTTTTGTTCTGAAGGCCTGTGTTTCCTTTATTCACAGGTCCCTTGCCTTTTACGCCTGCCCGGGGAAACGCTTTTATGGTTCCACTTCCATTCCGAGCTTCCAGCATAGTTTTGTGCTTAGTCCCTGGAGACATTAGAAATGGGAAACAGAAAAAACTTTGGCAATTTGGTTGCATTCATTGTGTGTTGTTTTGTTTTGTTTTCTACATAAAAAAATATATATGAACCTCAGGTTGGTGCCATGTGTTATCCTTGGAACATGACTGTGTTTGCCTGTATTGAATCCACTGCCGATGTATTAATATGCCACATCTGCTATATATTTAGTTAATTACTTATCTGTAGGTATCTGTAGGTTAATTAGGGATCTGTAGGTAAAACACTAGAACAAAGCAGCCACATCAACAAGCAGTGGCATAGTCAGGTAACCTGATGTGAAGTTAAATGGGTGTGACATTTCTCATTAATTCTTGCTGCTAATAAGACTTGAACTGCAGTTGCAAAGGAAGAGTAATTTACCTATTAAAGATGTTGTTGGCTTTGATTTCTAGTCCTCCTCAATGGATTGATAAACAATATTCATTAGTTAGTTTACACTTGAATCTGTAATTAACTAACTAGTTCTCAAATCAAAAAAGGGATAGAGGTTTCTGGCAACAATTTTGGATCTCAACGGCCTGGTCAGAAACCATGAGAACTATGCACTTTGCTTGTATTTATTATTAAAATAAATGTTGGATAGAAAACAACTGTCCTGTTGCTGCACCTGTATTCAGACTACACACTTTCTTGCACTGCTGACTTCCATACAGGTAGTCTCTGATAATAATGGACTACTACTATGCACAGAATTGATGCTCTAGTAGTAATCACTGCATGCATCCACATGTACACATCTACAGTCAAGTGAGCATATGCACAGTATATCAGCAGAGTAAATTTGGAGGTGTTTTGTCCAAATATTCACAATAATGGCTCTGATCTTGATCAGAAAAATGCATGATATAGTCTTCATGTAAAGCTAAATAGGTTAAATGGGTACAGTTTTATTAACTTCAATTTCTATCATTTGAAAAAAAATGGCATACAGCAAACACAGCATTCAAAACTGATTAGGCTTTGTTTCTCATGAATACCAACAAATTATCATTTCCGTTTTAATTTAAATGTATTCTACAGCCATGCCAAAATTATTTCTTTTTTTTTCTTTATTTTATTAAATAAGAAGATCATTCCCCACTTTGGTGCAGGTATATCATTTCTGTCTTCATCTTCCAGAGCTGAGGTTATCTTTCTATGTCTCACTTCTATTTATTATGCTCTTAGATAACCGCTGGCACACAATAAGGGGACTCTTACAGGACTATCATAGATGGTGACTGCTACCATACTAAATCTCATGATCTTTTAACTCAGCTCACTGCAAATTCAGTGAAAATTATGTTTAAAACAGTGAAAGTGAATGATGTTCCTCCATCACTGGTACTTATGAATGCTTTTTAATCTACTAACTAGAAAAGGTTTTAAGTTTAAGAAAGAGAGAGATAACCAATTGCCCATTGAACTCTCAAGCAGTAACCACTCTCAGCCAATTTAAAAAAAATAAAAAAAAACCCATAATTTTCAATAGTTATTAGACAATATGTACCTGAGAATTCTAACTCTCACCATTGAAATCTAATTGACTGATGCTCCCTGTTTCAACTTTAGTTTGCTAGAATTCACACAACATTACAGGCATTCACACGCAGGTTGCTAGTTGCCATAAACAAAAGTATGTGAACTCTGAACATCAAAGGTAATGAGGCATGAGCTGTCACTTTGTTTTATAAGGTCTGGAAGCTGCAAAAGCTAAAATGGGAGAAAATGGGTAACTCACAAGCAATAAAATTCCTTTCCTCCCCCTTTATGAAAGACTCTTTGCTTATCATTTTTATTCTTTAATAGTTAATGAATTCCATGTAATTGCCAGTTTTCTGCCACCTCTTTGTCCCCTGCTGCAAGAGATCTAATCTGTTCAGGGGAAGATAATTGCAGAGCTCTTAAGAAAGAAGGAAAAAAAAAGGAAGAAAGCAAGTACTGCTCCATCTCACCACTGTTGTGCGCCTCCAGCTGTGAGGCTGAGTTGACAGCGACTTTGCATAGTGAACAGTACAGCAATCTTTTTGCTTTTTCTTCTTCTGTCTCCACAGAAGGGCATGCGGTGCTGCTAGTGGCTGTTGTGGGGATTTTCTCCACTTTAGAGGTGATCTCCGTTGTCATAACACTGCTTTTCCGGATTTCCACAGTTGTTGTTGTTGATATTGCTGGTGTCCCTGTGGCAACGTCTGTGGGCAAAGGAAGGAAATGAAGGGAAACAAAATAGAAGGTGGTGACCCTTGATGCTTGCATGTTTGCATCCTAATACTGTAACCACATAGACAGCCTAGCCATGTTTGAAAAGTGACAAATGGTGATGAACTAAATATGACCTTCATTTTATAATTTTTGTATTTACTAAACATAGAAATATCAATGTATCAAAATGTCATGTATTCTGTTCCAGCATTCTGTTAACACCCAGTAAATTCAGAATTCATAAACTGAGAAGATAGGTCATTAAGTTGCATTGCACAGCTGAAGGATAAATCACTAAAAGATATCATATGAATTACCAGTATAATAGGCAGTGAAAGAGATAAAAAGTTTCCATAGTGCTGCATAATACTTTCTCTGATTAAGTAGTTGATGAAAAGTTTTAACAGTCTGTACTCACAAAACTAAAATTAATTTGATATTCTTGATATCAGATAAAGTAAAATATTGACACATCACTTGATCTTAGTCAAAACTAATATTAAATGAATAACAATTATTAATAGGTAGTTTACATACATATTTACACATATCCTAATAATATATGCTAGTGATTAAACAACATTCTATATTTGAGATCTACACAAGCATCAATAAGACTTCTGGGTATCAATTTTATATTTAGAAAAACACTAAGCATGCTATATACCTAAATCTATTAGTGCCTGAATCTAAGAACAAGTGGCCTTTGAATAGTTTTCAAACCCAGGAGAAAGAAAGCACACAATAGGATTATGGTGTGAATAAGGTATAAATAGTATTTTGTATGATTAAGTTCTAAGCATCAGTGCTCAATAGCACCAGTAAACCTAGCAAGCTCTTCAAGCCTCCAGATGAATTTTGTTTCCATCAGGTAAGTGTAAGAGGCCTACCTCTCTGCCAAAGACATGCTATCCAAGTCCTAACAGCAACAAGAAGCTGACAGGTTTAACTCCTACAGAATTCCAACAGATCTCTCACACTTTGATGTCTAAATGTCCTGCACACAGATTATCCCTCTGGAGAGCATTGTATTCCCATCACTTTGTTTCTTCCACTGAAGCTCTCTTATTTCCTGTTAAATATCTCCGCAGTGCCAGAGAAAGAGAAAATTATATGTCAATATTCTCTAGTAGTTAAGTACTTCTCAGGGTACAGGACTGCAGTGGCAGAGAAGAAGATGGGAAATATAAGTAACAGAAGGAGACAAGGGGCAGATGCAGTCATGCCCTTTTGGAGAGGAAAAGCTTTGCAGTGCTCGGCTTTGCCATTTTAAATCTATTGAGCAGCAGATTCTTCTACAAGAAATATTCATTATTTTATTGAGGATACTCTTGGATTTAGGTAGCTAACAATGCAAATAGCTCAGTTTATTTCACACATACCTTACTGATAGTATGCTCTACTTGTGAACATGCTTTATCTATTGTCATCCATTAGAACAGGCAAAATAAGTATTCTTTGGCTTGTAGACCCCAGTATGTGTTGTGATGCTTGAAGAACACAATAGATGATTCCTGCAGAGGTTCAAACTAATCTTGTTTAACAATTTCATTAGTGAAGAACTTGCCTATTAACTTAGGGAGGGGTTGCAAGGTAGGAAGCTGAAATGAATCAGAGGTTTAGAAAACGTGGCCCAACTGGGAAATGCCGAAGAAATATGTTGAAAGAAATGCTCCAAATATTGGTGTTGTTCATTTGAGCATATGGAAGATGAAGAGAATATATTAAAAACAGCTTTTAAATCTGTAGAATGTAGCTAAAAATAAGAGAGTAGACTCTTCTCCCTTATCCCTCTGAATAGACAAGGACTACCGGATTATAGCAACAGATACTCAGATTAGACAACAGGAAATTCTTTCTAATATTAAAGACTGTAAAGCCTTAGAATACAGAGATCATGAAATATTGCCTGTTGGAGGACTTGGAACTGATTGAACATGTATTTGCAGGAGAAACACAGGTACAATCCCATTTCAGATAGTGGGGAATAATAAAGATTAGTTTTGAAGTCCCTGCCAGCCTTGTAGATTTCTATGATATGTGTATTTTGTTTTATTTCTATATATACACCAAAAGGGTTTTTGAAAACTATTATTCTTAAAACAAAAAGCTGTGTTTATGAAATAATATTCTATATACAGTCAGGCATTAAAGCATACAGAAAATGTGTGGCCCCCAATCAAGTTCTAATTAAAATATTTCTTTTCCCTGGAGAGAGATTATATCCTGAGGTGATTATATCCTGAACGTACTGAGGGCATTAGTACTGTTGCAGAATGAATAACACTTTCTTGCTGAAAAGTCTGTTCTTACTTTTTACTGATCAACAATAATGCTTCAAAAGAAAAATACCATTTTTAAATATTCAGCCTTAGTTGGGAAACTGATGAGTAAATGAAGATCTAGATCTGTCCACAAAATTACACATTTAACTAGTCATTCCTTTCCCATCCCAGAAAGGCTGTGTTGATATTGGCTTTCTTCAGTTTAATGTTGCTGCAGTGAAATTATTTCCATTAAAAGCCCGCTCCTAGCAGCACTTTAAAACCTGAGTTTCAGCTACTCAACAAATTTTCATTGCAGAAATGACGGCAGAGGGCAGATAGCAGCAGAGAAAGGGAAGGGAAAGAGAAAAATAAAAGCATTAATATTGTCTAAGGATTGATAACAAGGTTGGTAATCATCCTAATCTTACAGGAAATTAGATCCGTACATCAATGACCATTACCAGTTTTGCACTACAAGGGTCGGTATGCCCGAAAAAAGGTRCAGATTCTCATTTCTTTATGTTCCACACATAGGAAAACCTAGGGCAATGAACCATAAAAAGCTTAAATAATTGCAGATTTTATTCTGCTTCAGATATCTGACCTCCTATTTGGATGGTGATCTTGTATTTCGCTATGCAATTATCTTAAAGTAAAAAGAAAATACTGTCAATTATGTTAGTCACTTTGAGGGCATTTTAAAATACATGCATGAGAGCAGTATTGTACATAAAAATTGAACTAAAAAGGATAAATGTCACCACCACACTCCAACTAATTCTTCACCTAACAAAAACATCAGTGTTTAAAGCATGTATTCTGCTCATACACTTTCAAAGTATGGTCTATTTAAAACATTGCATATTACATTGCTGCAAATGCACTAATAGCATCAAAATACACAAGAAAACAATCCTGAGTCCAAGTTCAAAATGGAAAAATGAAGACATAGTTAAAGATGCAAAGGTGCTGCCCCTCATATATATTACAAATATTTGCAGGAATTGAGGCAGAAACATTCTGAAGGCTAGCATGTATCTCTTTGAATATTATACAGACAGAGTTTGCTGTCCTAAATACAGGGTATTTCATTAAAGGCATAAGAGATTAAAAATCCAAAAAGCAGTAGAAAGATATTTGAACTGATGCCTTGAAGACTGAATCAGCATTTCTTAACATTACATTACGACAAAGTCTTAAGAACTATTTCAGTAATAAATGATCTAAAATCAAACTTGGAAATTCAGTCACAGTCAAATGGAAGATTTGTTCCTGATGACGCAGGCTTGCAGCACTGTGCTATTTTCATACCCGTGGCCTGCAGCAAATACTCCTTATTGCAACTGTCACTATTTGGCTTTGACATAGAAGCAGATTGCTAATATTGTATGAAGCTGGATTCCAGCAGCAAAAATGGGAACACTTCAGGATTCACAATAATCCATTTGTATTCCTGGTCCTAATATAGCAACAGCACAAACACTAAACTGCAAAAATTATATATATATATATACACACACTTTTATATATATATAAAAGCTAATCTGCCATTGTCAACATCAAAGATGTATTTTAAGAAGATGATGAAAAAGAAGTAGTGAGAAGTGACTGTTTTGGGTACTACAGGCACTGTATTTCAAGTGAAAAAACTGCAAGTGTTTAATTAAGGTCTTCCTAACTAAGCAGGATTAATTTCTGTATCCTAGCTACAAGACTCATGAATTTTCTTTAGACTAAAGATGCAGAAAATTACAGTCAACTCATGTTTTTCTTCTCTCTCAGTATGTGAAAGTCTCCCTCATCAATTCTTGCTACTAAGCATAAGAATTTCTTATCCTGAAACTATAAATAGACCCACAGAGATAAAAATGCTCTTTGACTTGAAACAGATAGCAACTATTTATGAGCTTATTTTTTCTTCTGCAATCTCAAATGGCATTCATTTAAAAATATCTGATTTAGTCCATGAATTCTGGTCTCATTTAAATCAGTCTTTGCCATTGACATCAAAGGACTGAGCATTTGGCCCACGAGGCCATCCAGAAAAAAAAAAAAAAAAGCATATTCTTTCTTTTGCCAAAGAGAAATTGATATAAAATATTTCAGTATACTTAGTATACTTAGTATACTTTAAAAGCTCTGAGAACTGTAAAAATCTTTTCATAAGCTTGCTTGTAGCAAACTTGCATAAAGTAACAGACAGCTCCATTGCAATAAGTATTGCAAATACTTAATGCAGTGTCATCTTCAAAAAGAGTCTCAGAGTATTAGAGTCACAAAGCTGTTAGGAACTGGGTGCCCAATTCCCCTGGCCTACTTTAAAAATCCTATGTCCTCTGTGATAGAAGTCATATGGTATGTCCTCTATTTGAAGACAAGATATCAATTCTTCTAAATCTATAAATATAACAGTGAAGTATATTATAAACAATGCACTGTTTCAAAAATAAACCTCTAGCTGACTTTTCTGTGTTTGGCTGACTTCCTATACTCATATGCTTAAACATAAGCATGTGTGTTAGTACATTGTTGGATCTGGCACTTAAACAAAACATTTTAGGGAACTTTAACTAAAAGGCATTCACTCCTCTGACTTTATATGTGCAGAAAACAAACTTGCATATTTTATGGTTTGTTGATATTTGGGCCATTATGATATACTGCACAGAAAATCCTATCATACTACTAAAATTGAGTCACTAGATTTTGTTTTACATTCAAAA